GTGCCGGGCTCGGAGCAGAAGGAGCCATGCAGCTCTTGCCGTAGGTTTTTTTTTGGGCGATGAGCCGTTGGGGAGCTGTTGGTATCTCCCAATTTGCTTTTGACTAGGGAGTCTCTTGGAGCTACCAGTGAGATGGGTGGGTTCCTTTTCCATGGTTTGGAGGTACCTAGGCGAGGGTTTTATTCCTGAGTCACTGCTGCTGGGTGGGTTCCCTTGGAGAGGCTGGCCATGGAGTTGGCCAAGTTGGTGCCCCCCTTGCCGCGCACGGAGTACCGTCTGGCAGTGGACACCCAGGCGTATGGCGAGCTGACTGTGGGAGAGTTTAATATAGGGACCCCAAATCAGTTTTAGGTTCCATTTTTTGTTGTTGTTTGCCAGTCTCCAATTTAAGATGGAGCAAGAACGCGATTTCTGCTTTAAGTTTCCTTTGTGGGATGGAGGAAGAAAGCGATTGCTGCTTTATTGGGGGTATCTCCTTTTAGCGGCTACTCACTTTTGGGGGTGCTCTTACTGTAAGTGCCAGGGTTGATACATCCTGGGGTTGTCATCGCTAGGTTGCTGATGCGTTTTCGGAACCGCTTGTGGAAGGGCCAGGAAGGCTGCGGTGAGAAGCAACGGATTTGTGTCATGACGGCTTGATATCACGGACACAGGCCCTTAGGCTGATTATCACGCCCATCAAAGCTTCATGACTAAATCTGCAATTGTAGGATCATTCAATGAACGACTATTCGCGTACAGCACCACAACAAAGCCAGCGCTTTTGATCCTAGCACCAGATGCGAGTCTCAGCTATGACGATGCAAGTCTAAAGCAATCCTGCCTCGAAGTACGGTTGCAATTCCGATGGGCTGATTCCGCAGTACGGTTGCAATCTTTTCATCTTTCCCCCATGGTACTTGTAGGCCTGTCGTTTTGGAGGGCATCCTGTGAGAAGGCCTTTGAATGGGACTCAGTCCTTTTGAACTGAACTCAGCGCTTTGAGACAAGCCATCCAGCTGAACTTGGCCAGGGAAAGAGCTGCGCGCCTATGCGTGTGTCCCCCAATGTACTATTTTTATCGATAGAAGTATTACTATATGGATATATACATGATTTACATACATGTTATACATACATACATACATACATACATACATACATACATACATACATACATACATACATACATACATACATACATACATACATACATACATACATACATACATTACATACATACATACATACATACATACATTACATACATACATACATACATACATACATACATACATACATACATACATACATACATACATACATACATACATACATACATACATACATACATACAATGCATGCATGCATGATGCATGACAGACAGACAGACAGACAGACAGACAGACAGACAGACAGACAGACAGACAGACAGACAGACAGACAGACAGACAGACAGACAGGACAGACAGACAGACAGACAGACAGACAGACAGACAGACAGACAGACAGACAGACAGACAGACAGACAGACAGACAGACAGACAGACAGACAGACAGGACAGACAGACAGACAGACAGACAGACAGACAGACAGACAGACAGACAGACAGACAGACAGACAGACAGACAGACAGACATACATACAGACCGAAGACGACAGGACAGCCATACACAATACCACATAATACATACATACTACATTACATTACATAAATAATACTACAGCATGCATGCATGCATGCACATGACAGACAGACAGACAGACAGACAGACAGACAGACAGACAGACAGACAGACAGACAGACAGACATACATACATTACTTTACGTTACATTACATTACATACATACGTACATACACACACACACATACATTACATTACATTACATTACATTACATTCCATTCCATTACATTACATTACATTACATTACATTGCATTGCATTGCATTGCATTACATTACATTACATTACATACATACATACATACATACATACATACATACATACATATTATACATACATTCATAGATGCATGCATGCATGCATGCATACACACATACATACATATATACATGCATACATCCATCCATCCATCCATCCATCCATCCATGCATCCATCCATCCATCCATCCATCCATCCATCCATCCATCCATCCATCCATCCATACATACATGCATACATACATACATGCTTCAATACAATAGAATACACTACAACAAAATACAATACAACATAGTGGATACATACAATACATTACATTACATCACATTACATTACATTACATGACATACATACGCACATATATATATATATATATATTCACCTATATATTCATCAGGTTCATTTCCCTTTCATTTTTGCCCCATCCGCTCTGATCTCGGCCCCTTGTCTCCAGGCGCTGCAGCCCAGTGACCGCCTGCGGGACGTGGTGTCGGACGGCGCGGAGCTCACCGCGCTGCTGGTGGAGTCCATGGCCGGAGAGTTCTTTTGCCAGGCGGCTGGCGGCGGGGCGGGGGAGGGCGCCCTGGGCGGCGGGTTTTGGGGTTTTTGGCGCGGCGCGGGAAGCTTCCCGTGGTTTCTGCTTTTTGCGAGCTTTTGTGCCTTTTTTCTCATGTTTTTGTGGATAGTTTCTGTTTTGCTTCTTTTTGTGGGTTTTCGTGAGCCGCGTTCCGTTGCGGTGACCTGCTTTTTTGTTTGGTGAGCGGAGAAGCAGAGGCATCCCCGTTGTTTTTGGTGTTTTCTCATGTCACAATTCCCTTTTGCAACCTGTCTTTTTTGCTTTGGCGGACCGGCCTTTTTGAAGGGCCCGCTTTGGCTGACCAAAAGGGTGGGGGTCACATGTTGAAAGACGGCCATGCATGGGGTTTGGCGAACAGCAACATGTCCTTTCGGATCCTTCTGAAAGGGAATCCACAGGCAACGCTGCATGAGACAAACCCAGCTGTCTTTGACTCTAAATGAAAGGAACCCCCAAATGAATCCCTTTGCTTATTGAAGACAAATGACCAAAACAGTGATATACGGTATATATCTCATTGTTTGCTTTTTCGGGGACCAACGGAGGCACTCATTTTAACTTGGGTTTCCACTTTTGAGTCATGCCCAAGGGATCAGAGGAAAGTTTGGGAATTTGATGATTGATACATCGTCACATTCGCGATTTAGATGGTTGGCCTGTCATTTTTCCTTTGATTGCCATCGGAAATGGGGGGTCCGCATCCTTTCTCAATGAAACAAGACGGATGCCAAGACGACAAGAAGGATTTGGGCGATTCGCTTTGATACATTCCCATGAAACAAGTCTTACATCATGTTTGATGTTTGAGCTGACTATAGGACCTGTCCTTTCTTTGCTATGTTTCTCCTGGATGAACGCTGGTTGAGCACGGCCGGAGGGTTGCAGCCTAGGTGAACAGGACCAGCGGGGTTACTCTTTGCGGGGACCTGAGCGAGGAGAGCCTTTCAGCCTCTGGAGAGGTTCGGCTCGTGTCCCTGCCACTTCAGTGATTCAGGCCTGGGCACAGATCGTCGCGCTCGGTGCCAGATTGAGCGCAACGCACAGCCGCCATGTGCGACACGCTGCTTCGCTGCTTCGGTTGCGTTGGAGCGAGACCTCTCGAGGTTTAGACAAAAATAGGCTCGAATTTCATCTGGGCACACGGCGCACACATATCCCAACTACGGTTTGTCAACCTTCAGTTGCATCTCTGTTGGCAAGGGACGCTTTTGGTTGCCTGGGATGAGCATTCCTTTATGGAAGTCCGAAAGTCGCCTTTCCCTCGCAGATACAATTGAGAACCTGCCAACCTGCTGCCAGATTGGCGGCATAGTCTTCAACTACCACGCAGAAGGCGAATGGGAGGTGCTCGCCGCAAGTGTATTTCGCCGCTTGTGGCTTGTGAGAGTTCGGCCGAGGAAGCACTTGAAGAAAGTCGGCTGCACCTCACTCTGGACCAGTGAGAGATTGACTTGCCTTTCTGTGAGAACGAAGCGAATCCGCAGGACCAAGGTGTGGGGGCCATGAGCGAGTTCGTGATAAGGCCCTTTGGTCTGAATCATGAAGAGCCATGCGCCTCGTGAGCAGTGAAGGAGAACTCTGGAAATGGCGAGAACCGGTGATGGAGCGCTAGCCTCGGTGCAGGAAGGGCGTGACGTGTAGTTGCCTGCTCCACACGACTCAGGACTTGGAATTGGCATTGCTGGCAGTTTGGAAAAGTCTCTTCCGCAGACTTTGCATGTGATCCCGCCAGGTGGCAGTAAGAGGTGACATCAAGGGTGGAGGACAAGTGGATGAGAACATGCTTGTGCTGCATGGTACTTAGCTGGTTGGAAGCTGCTGGCGTCTTCTTTCGCAATGAAGCGGTGGCTGTGAGGTCAGTGGGCAATGTCTTTGGACGCTTCTAACCCGAAAAGGCAGCGCAGAGCAACGAACTCTGCTTGACCACATCTGGAGTCAGGGTGTTTCAGCCGTTGGAAAATGGGTCACGACTAGCAGCAGCTTGGGCCGAGCTTGCTCTTGCCATGTGCAACTCATGTCTGCATGTTGAAATCATCTCGCTCGTCTTTCGAACAGGGCCCAGAGGCCAGATAGTCCAGTTTTACTTGACGAGCATCTCCTGCGATGAAGTAAATCCAGTTGCAGATGCCATGCAAACACAGCACCAAGAGCTTGAATGAAGAGCATCCTTCCAGACATGAAGTTGTAGCTTCGCTGGTTGCTGATAGCACGCATTGCATTATCCGTAGCCCACCGACAAGAGACACAACAAAAAATCCAGAGCCGATCTTTCGGGACCTCCCGCGAAGCCTGCGATGACGAAGGCGGAGAGGGCGTCTCGTTGGCCGTTTTTGTTAGGCGGTAGCTGTCAGGACATCAGTCTCAAGGCGGCCTGCGCCGACTCCTTCTACTATCCGCAGGCGCGTCTTCTGAAGGGCCCGGTGTCGCGGGATCGCTTCGGCGCTGAGGAATGGGCTCCTTCCAGAGGCTCTCTGGACCAATTCCAGCGGAGGCGGTCGGGGTCGCATCCCAACTTGCCATGGGTCGCCAGGTTTCCCAGTGCGATTTCTCTCGGTTTGGGTCGGGACTTACCAATTACCAACGTGAGATCATGAAGTGCCATGGGTTGCAACAAGTTGGCCGCCGTTTTGTTTGCGCGAGGCGAGGCTACGAGCACCACTTTGGCAAGCAGCGCACGAAGAACCTCAACAAGGGGGTGCGGACCTCACCGGAACGAGCACACAAGACAAAGAGTTGGCTCGGTTTCTGGCTCACACCTCTGAGCTCCCCTCTGGCAAAATCGCTCAAACGCCAAACGGGGGAATTGGAGCTGTGGTCTACAGTCCTGACTTCACTTAGGTGTGGGTCAAATTTAAGCCACCAGGGGACCGCAGGTTTTAGTCTTTGGTTCCATTTACCAGGGCAAGCCATTTTGGGGATACCCTATTTTTGACCCAGAGCCACTTGGGAAAAATGGTTTGTGAGCCATTGACCCACTTGTCTGACAGGTGCTTCTGATACGCTTCGAGATGCCCTTCACGGTGCAGTGCCTGCGGCGTGGCTCTCAAGTTGCACAGAGCCTGGCACAGGCGCAGGTGTTCCTTTTTTGGGACCTCTCCCCTCCACACAACTGGCTGTGGGTCAAAACCTTTGGGGTAGGTGAATTCACCACCCATTTTAGTCTATTTTAGTGGGGATTGGCATGTTCACTGGGAGTACGATGTGGAATTTGACCCATGGCCATTTGGCTCCTGGTCCTCCTCAGGTGTGAACATTACATCGGCCAGGGCACGCGCTACAACGTGCCGTGGCAAGACATGAGCACTCTCCGCTGGTCTACGAGCAATGGCAATCGACGGTGCAGATCAAAGTGGAACACCTGTACCATAAACAATGCGGGAGAAGAGCCACGTTCAAAGCATGTCCCAGGGTTCTTCTAGCTGACTTGAACAGGGCTTGAGTGGCATGCACAAACACTTGTGTGTAGAAAGAATTGATTCCTTTTCTGATCTAGACACACCGAGGCGGACAAGAAGAAGGTTGGCATGTACTTCTCCACCCCGCTGTACGAGTTCGCCATGCATTGTGGCAGCTGGTCAGCAGTGCGATTCATGCCCAAGTCACCGGGCAAGAGTTCTGAGGCAACATCGTCAGCCCTGAGAAATCTGCCGACGGCGCGCTCCTGAGCTTTAATAGGCGATAGCCTTGTCCTTGTGGCCAGCTTGCCTTTACTGCTGTGCATCAAGCAGGGCTTGTCCAGAACTGGTTGCAGAGATATCTCGCAACATAGTTGCTTTGCAGGTTCGGCTCACTGCAATCAGCGCTTTGTCATTCGGACAGACCCGAAAAACGTGCCGCCTGCCCACTTGGAGATTGCAAGCTGTACTTTTAGTCATCCCATGACAGGATGACTACGAGCTTTCAGAAGGGCTTCGGCGAAAGATGGAGTCCTGGGATCACAAGGAGTGTGCATGCGACCTGCGAGAGCTTCTCGTGGACCACATTCACCCATCCAGGGCATTTGTCCTTATTCCTCCCAGGGACAAGTTGTGGCTTTCTTTTCATTTGCATTCCTGAGGACACATCAAAGCTCAGTCAGACGGGCGTACACACACACACAGACACAAACACAGACACAGAGACAGACACAAACACAAACACAGACACAGACACAAACACAAACGCAAAACGCACAGCACAAAGTGCAAAATGCAAAACACAAATGCAGACACAAGCACAAACACAAACACAAACAGAGACAGTGACAGAAATACAACAGCATATATATATATATATATGCAACCCCCCCCCCATGGACCCTGGTTTTACTGCCTTTTGGGGATGGCAAATCTAGAATTTCCAAATTTATATTCTCGAAATTTCCAATTGTGGGTCCCCAAAGCGTGATAATTTGGAGCCCGGAGTCCTCCACAATGTCCCAGTATGATACCCCTTGCACATAAGATGTTACTTCAACTAGAATTGGAATTTTGAATATAGTTTAGTATGGATATAGTTTTCAAAAATGTGTTTATGTTCAATTATAGCTTAAACAAGCAAATCCTTTCCAAATAGCAGCTACATGAAAATGTAAATATATATTTTCGGCTAAACTCCAACTAATCTATAACACAAGAAGTTAGATGGAAGTTTTTTCCCAAATATCATCCAAGTGGTAAGCGTAATCTAAGACGACACAACTCAATTTGCTTTTGATAATATCAAGTGAATAGAGACTACATCTCAAATATAATTCATATTCAATATGGCTAAACATTTGGAAATTAAAAATAGGATTTGTGTTGTTTACATTCTGGCCCTTTTGTAGCATAAGAAAGGTCCGACATTGAACTTGTTAGACGGTGTTCCAAAGGGAAATTTCAAGGGAAGAGAGGTTCAAAATCTAAAACTATCTCGAAACAGGGATTCTAGCTAAACCGTTGTATTTAAAGTTCTATTTGCGCAGGAAAGTTAATTCTATGTCAAAAGGTGGAGGTAGTAGATGAGCAAATGTGGACAGGTAGTTGAAGAGGGTGGGGGAGTGTGAACGTACATACATCTGTATATCTATATATACACATACATACACACATATATAGTACCCCCAATGATCCTGCGCCTCCTCGTAAAATACTGGAAAATGCGGTATTTTTGAGCGTTGCACCTGCCTTTGTTTACCTCCTGGAAAGGGGTCAACATGAGCATAGCTGACATGAAGCTCACCAAAAGCACTTGAAAGTTTGTCTAACCAATAACTTGAAAGTGTGTCCACTGGATCGCTAAGCACTTGAAAATTTGCTACTATCGGATGGAAGATTCAATATTGAAGATTACACAGAACACTTTCCTGAGAATTGTCAATCCTGGCCAAACCCAAATAGCATTCAAGTTCTTCTAACACTTGAAGGTGCTTTACCACTGGATTGGGGATTCAATATTGAGGAGCCCACAAACCACCACTTTCCTGAGAATCATCCATCCTGGTCAACCCCTAAGATGTTCAAGTTGTTCTATCACCTCGAACATCCGTTACCACTGGATTGAACTATTTCACGGAAAACTTTTCCGAGAATCTTATTGAACACCGAGAGTATTGGGACAACCCTGGAATTTTGAAAACTTTTTAAAAAATATGGGATTCAAGATTCAAGATTCCAAGAAAATATTTTCTCAGATTCTTGAATCTTGCATCTTGAATCCATAATTTTTAATAATTTTTAAAAAATTCTGGGATTCAAGATTCAAGATTCAAGATTCCCAGAAAATATTTTCTCACATTCTTGAATCTTGAATCTTGAATCCCATAATTTTTGTTAATTTTAAAAAATGTCTGAGTTGTTCTTGTATTCTTGGATGCATTCAAACTCTTTCAGATTGCAGGTGCTGATGTCATTGCTTTTATTACATCTGTATGCATGCATGCGTATCATATACATGTACGACCCTCCCCCCCAATTTTGACACAAATCCAAGAAGCAAAAATAAGCATAAAACACTGGAAAATGCAGGTCAACCGCACCAAACCAGGGTCCATGGGGGGGGGGGGGTACCATATATATATATATATACACACCGATACCCATATACATATACACCAACACACCAGCTCCCGTGTACTCGCACGCGCACAAGTGCACGCCAACCCACACCCAAATGCACGCAGTTAATGCACCCGATTTTGCAATCTACGCGCTCATACCTGAGCACCTCCATGCGTTTACGCGTACGTGGTTCCTCTCGTGCAAGCTCATGCGGGCATCGTTGCGCGCATGCTTTCGCTCGCACTCTCTCGCACAGGCGCATACACTTGTCTCTCACGCTTGAAATATACTCCTTCACAAAGTTTTTCGGCAGCACCGATGCCCAGTGGCTGACAGGACTCGGAGACTTTGGAGCTTCCAGACCCTGAGACTCGGAGGAGGCAGCGGTTTTCGGTGGGGAGGATTTGCCCGTGTCTGAGTGCGTTCGCGCGTCATTTTGCCAGCTTTGGCGGCGTCAGCTTGACCCGCTTGGTTTTCCTCGGAGTTGCAGGATGCAAAACGACCCCATGTTCCGGGTGGAGAAGACCCAGCGCGGCCTGGCCCAAGTGGGTTCAAGATACACCTGAGACTGGTCTTTCAATGTCAGGGCCCGCGTGTTGGACGCGTTCCCCTCCATCTTGTTTTGATACGGGGCAATACTAAAACTGTTGACTCATGGCTTAACAGCGTATGGCTTATGGCTCAGCGCAGATGAAGACTACGTGGACAATCTCAACCATAGGTGAGGCATTGCGCAGTTTTGGATAGACACTCCAGGTGACTTGCAGAAGGAGAAAGACGAGAAGGAACGGCTGGCTGACTTGCAGGATTTGCAGGACGACAGGGAAGACGCTTATGCCTGGAGCTTTGGCACGCAGATATACCTTTTTGCCGCACAAGCAGGGATGCGCTGGCCAGCGAGACGTGACCTCAAGTTTCATGCGGCCAGCAGTCGCAGGTCGTTGATGGGTAGTACCTCGGATGTTGCCAAGCTGGTGTGTGCAGTCAAGTAAAGCAGAGTGTTCATTCTATATTCCAGGGCAATCAATCTTGCCATGTGGGCTTGGGTTGGGAAAGGCAAGAGAGAAGACTTGCTGAAGCGCGGCTTGCGCCGCGTGCCCAGGAACTGCGTCCTGCGCAAAGCGCATCGACTGCACCGAAAGGAGGAGCAAAGACGAGAAGAGGCGCAGTGGAAGAAAGCCGTGGGTGTCCAAACAGTAAGACAGCCAGGATCAGCTTTTTGATGCGGTCTATTTTGCCCTATTTTGCAACTAGACACACAGGCACACACACACACACTCAACCTACATCGGCTTCTCAGTTTTTCACCTCGGAAAGAACATGATGATACTGACACTCACCAGACTTTCTAAGCATTTGTTTGCTCAGCGTTTTGACTAGTGACAATCAGGGATGGGCGGATATGGCTGAAACCTTGCCGGTTTTCCTCAAAACTTTGAGTGGGGAAGCCTTGAGAGTGCCGCTAAATTCATGCGTCCAAGCGCGAAGATTCATTCGGCTTTTTTCACTTCCGGGCCGGCCCAAATAGAACTCATGATCCTTTTCTCGAGGCTCGGTGGCCGTTTTGGGGCTGGTTTGGGAGACCAGGAACCCGGGGGGCCCATGAACTGGTGGCGTCCCCCCCGTGGCAGGGAACAATGCGTATAATGTGAACCGGCTCCTTTTTCAGCACTTGCCACTTGATCTGCGCGAAAAAAGGGATAGCAGCGTCGCAGATTTGCACGGTCAGGTCAATCCAGAAACTAATTCCAATTCAACATTTTTTATAATCTATTTTAGCGTATCTCATATTTAATTATCTTTCTCAGCTCTTGGTGTTTCTCTTGCCTTGCGATTATTGATGTCATGGACTTCAGAAGTCTTATCAATGGAGCAAAGTACACACAAGTGATTAATAGGTGATACAGAAATGACCAAGACTTGGTACTGTAGATTACAATAATCAATTCATAATTGGGTCTAGAGAGTCTATAGACAGGAAATGCCTACCAATAAGATCTCAAGGAAGGGTGGGCTAAGGAATCTCCATTGCTTATTTCTCCCCCCTTCTTGTTTCCCTTTATCACCCCAACTCTTTTTCTCGGAAGCAGAGGTTGGGTGATGGGAGGTAGCGAGGGAGAGAAGGGCGAGAGAGAGGAAAAAACTCATTGCTTGGCCATCTCACGGCCCCATCCCCTCACCTCATTTTCATTGGCTGGGAGATGGATGAGGATGGTAAAAGATATTCTTGGAAAGTGAAGATATGCCAAGAAAAAAAGGCGAGAGGGGAGGATGGCTGTCTGGCCTCATGATTCAAGCCTCTATCTTACCACCTTACCACCACCCTTTCTCCCCTTCATTTCTATTCCTCACCACCTACAGCTTCCTTGAAGCTGAGATGGAGGTGGGGGCGGGGAAAGAGATGAGAGAGTGGGCAAGGAGATGGATGGCCATCCAACCATTCTGTTTCCTTAGTCATCTGGGTTCTTCATTCTAATTCTCTTTCCTATCTCTTTCCTAGCCGTTTCAACGGTGAGAATGGAAAGGAGAAAAGAAAATCTTTCCAGCAGTTACAAATGAATTCCTCTTTCTTCACCTCTTTTCAGCTTCTCTTTCCCAACCTCTTGCCCAGGTATAAGTTTCTTTGGGAAACGAGGGAGGTCAAGAGAAGGGAAGTGAATGAAAGCTAGACAAGCTGGAATGTCCTTATTGTCCTGTCATTCCCGTTCTCTTTTAATAGCTTTGGGAGTGACATGAGAGGGAAATAGAATGGAGAAAGGGAATGCAAGAGATGGAAAGCATCTCAAATGATAAAGCGTCTCTGATTTATACTCTTAGAATATGGACACATTTTTAGGATAGTAACATCTCTTTCCCTGTCTCTTCCTTGCTTGCCCTGACTCTTCGCTCGCTTCTTCACTCATCATCACCTGCAAGCGAGAGAAAAGGAGATTAAAAAGGTGGGTGAAGGAGAGAGTGGGTGGGCTCACCTTGTCACGTTTTCCCTCTCATCCTATCTCCTCCCTCATCCACATCCAAGATTTAGAAGCTAGAGATGATGGGAGGTAGGTAATGAGAGGTAAAAAGTGAGAGTGATGATGGCGACTTCTCTTTCATTAGCCATCATATGACCGCCCTCCATCTCTCTCTCGCTCTCTCCGGTCGTTTACCTGGCATGCGATCCCTAGAGTTCACAACAAGTAGTGGAGAGAGACATTCCTTGCCCAGCTCCAGCTCTAACATAATGATGGAGGAGCTGGTCATCTCCCTCTCACACGCAATCCCTTGCCATCTCTTAATTCTGGAGTGGCGAGGATTGTATGCAAGAGGAAGGAATGCAACTCCTTCTCCTTCTCTATCACCAACATCTCCTTTCCCTTAACCATGTCACAGAATCCAGAACGTCTTTCATGTCATCTGGGTTCTTCATTCTAGTTCTCTCTCCTATCTCTTCACCCCTTCTTCTTTCCTAGCCGTTGCAACGGTGAGAATGGAAAGGAGAAAGGAAATTGATGACGAGAGAGGTAAAGTGATTAGGTGAGAGGTGGCCAGAGGAAATCCCATCCGCTGGCCAGTTCTTTCCAGCAGTTTCAAATGAATTCCTCTTTCTTCACCTCTATTCAGCTTCTCTTTCCCAACCTCTTGCCCAGAAACGAGGGAGGTCAAGAGAAGGGAAGTGAATGAAAGCTAGACGAGCTGGAATGTCCTTATTGTCCTGTCATTCCCGTTCTCTTTTAATAGCTTTGGGAGTGACATGAGAGGGAAATAGAATGGAGAAAGGGAATGCAAGGGATGGAAAGCATCTCAAATGATAAAGCGTCTCTGATTTATACTCTTAGAATATGGACACATTTTTAGGATAGTAACATCTCTTTCCCTGTCTCTTCCTTGCTTGCCCTGACTCTTCGCTCGCTTCTTCACTCATCATCACCTGCAAGCGAGAGAAAAGGAGACTAAAAGGTGGGTGAAGGAGAGAGTGGGTGGGCTCACCTTGTCACGTTTTCCCTCTCATCCTATCTCCTCCCTCATCCACATCCAAGATTTAGAAGCTAGAGATGATGGGAGGTAGGTAATGAGAGGTAAAAAGTGAGAGTGATGATGGCGACTTCTCTTTCATTAGCCATCATATGACCGCCCTCCATCTCTCTCTCGCTCTCTCCGGTCGTTTACCTGGCATGCGATCCCTAGAGTTCACAACAAGTAGTGGAGAGAGACATTCCTTGCCCAGCTCCAGCTCTAACATAATGATGGAGGAGCTGGTCATCTCCCTCTCACACGCAATCCCTTGCCATCTCTTAATTCTGGAGTGGCGAGGATTGTATGCAAGAGGAAGGAATGCAACTCCTTCTCCTTCTCTATCACCAACATCTCCTTTCCCTTAACCATGTCACAGAATCCAGAACGTCTTTCATGTCATCTGGGTTCTTCATTCTAGTTCTCTCTCCTATCTCTTCACCCCTTCTTCTTTCCTAGCCGTTGCAACGGTGAGAATGGAAAGGAGAAAGGAAATTGATGACGAGAGAGGTAAAGTGATTAGGTGAGAGGTGGCCAGAGGAAATCCCATCCGCTGGCCAGTTCTTTCCAGCAGTTTCAAATGAATTCCTCTTTCTTCACCTCTATTCAGCTTCTCTTTCCCAACCTCTTGCCCAGAAACGAGGGAGGTCAAGAGAAGGGAAGTGAATGAAAGCTAGACGAGCTGGAATGTCCTTATTGTCCCAGCTTTTCCGTTCACTCTCTATCTCTTCCCCAATGATCTTTACCTGGACCCTCTTTCTCTTGCTCTCTCCGTTGGCCCCACAGCTCTAACAGATAGGACAATGATGGAGGAGCTGGTCATCTCCCTCTCACGCGCCTTCCCACGCCATTTCTTCATTCTGAAATAATGGCAAGGACTCTACGTGAGAGAAAGAGATGTCACCCCTTCTCCCTCTCTTATGTTGGCTCTAGAGCTGGCGAAGGCATGAGACGAGCTGAAGCTCCATTGCCTGTCCTGTTCCTATCTTCTCTCCCGGTCTTTAAGGAGAGATAAAGGATGTGGATGAAGAGATAATGATGGACGAACGAAGAGAGAAGCCTTGTGAGGGCTGGCCCAGCATTCATCTCTATCCCTCACTCTATATCCTTCGTCTCCCAAGCCTTTATCCAACACACAACTACTTGCGGTTGTGGGTAAAGGCGTGGAAAAGAGAAAGGAGTAGCATGAAAGGGTGAATTGCCTTCACCCCATCCAACAGCTAAAAAGAGAAGCATCTTTCATTTCTCTTCCTACCCCTTTTACGCTAGTGAGAGGCATGTCCTCCACCTTCCCATCCATTCCTCACTCTTTCCAACCTCTCTGCTTGCTCGCGAACAAAGGGGGGAGACATGCCTTTCACGTCCTAGCTTAGGGGCGTGCAGGATGCTCAATGTTTTTTGATGTTGAAACTATAGAATTGAACTCTCAAAAAAACTCTATGTTAGATTTTTTAGAATTCTAGATGGTCTCAGCCCAGGAGGGGCCCCTTGATTTTTAGAGTTTTTTTTGATTTTTTAGACCTTTTAGAAGCTTTTGAAATGAGTTCTAAAAAAAATCTCAATTCTAAAATTCGTACCCCACAAATTTAAAATTTCGAGAATATTTAGAATTCAATTCCAAAAATTCTAAAAATCGGACCCCGAAGTTTAGAATTTGTAGAGTTTTTAAAACTCAATTCTAAAAATACTAAAAGTTCTAAAAAATCTAAAAAATCAAAAAATCAAGGGTCCTGGCTGGGCCCCTCCTGGGCTGGGACCATCTAGAAATTTAAAATCTAAAAAATCTAAATTTCGGGGGTCCGAATTTTAGATTTTTTAGAATTTTTAGAATTGAGTTCTATAAATTCTAAAAATTCTAAATGTCGGGGGTCCGATTTTTCGAATTTGTAGAACTTGTGGAACTCAATTCTAAAAATTCTAAAAATCGGACCCCCGAAATTTAGAATTTTTGGATTTTTTCGAATTCTAGATGGTCCCAGCCCAGGAGGGGCCCAGCCAGGACGCTTGATTTTTAGAATTTTTGGAATTTTTAGAACTTTTAGAATTTTTAGAATTGAGTTCTAAAAATTCTAAAATTCGGACCCCAAAAATTTAGAATTTTTAGAACCTTTAGAACTCAATTCAAAAAAATCTAAAAATTCTAAAAATCGGACCCCCAAAATTTAGAATTTTTAGAATTCTAGATGGTCCCAGCCCAGGAGGGGCCCAGCCAGGACCCTTGATTTTTAGAATTTTTAGAATTTTTAGAACTTTTAGAATTTTTAGAATTGAGTTCTAAAAATTCTAAAAATTCTATTCATCGGACCCCCGAAATTTAGAATTTTTAGATTTTGTAGAATTCTAGATGGTCCCAGCCCAGGAGGGGCCCAGCCAGGACCCTTGATTTTTAGAATTTTTAGAACTTGTAGAACTTTTATAATTTTTAGAATTGAGTTCTAAAAATTCTAGAAATTCTAAATTTCGGGGGTCCGATTTTTAGAATTTTTAGAATTGAGTTCTAAAAATGCTAAAAATTCTAAATTTTTGGGGTCCGAATTTTAGAATTTTTAGAATTTTTAGAACTCAATTCTAAAAAATCTAAAAGTTCTAAACATTCTAAAAATTCTAAAAATCAAGGGTCCTGGCTGGGCCCCTCCTGGGCTGGGACCATCTAGAATTCTAAAAGTTTTAAAAAATCTACATTTCGGGGGTCTGATTTTTAGAATTTTTAGAATTGAGTTCTAAAATTCTAAATTTTGGGGGTCCGAATTTTAGAATTTTTAGAATTTTTGGAGCTCAATTCTAAAATTTCTAAAAGTTCCAAAAATTCTAAAAAATCTAAAAATCAAGGGTCCTGGCAGGGCCCCTCCTGGGCTGGAGCCATCTAGAATTTTACAAATTATCTTAACTAAGACTTGGTTATCAGAAGGCGAATGGCCCGTTCACATTATACATAAAGTTCCCTCGTACGGCGTCCCCCCCCCCATTTCGAGAGAACCAGGTCAAGGTTTGGGTCGTTTTTGGGAGGGGGGTAAGTGTGGGTAACCGGGTAACAAGCATACGCCTCAAGTGTGCTGAGGGGCAAGGCGGGCCTTTCTTTGTTGCACTTGGCAAGAGAGAACTCTCTTTGGTGGTTTTTGAGGATGCAAAAGCTTTCTGGCGCCTGATGAACTCGAGAGGGGTGGTCTGGAGTGGGGTGCTGTTTTTTGCCCACCAAGAATTGGGGGCGGGGGAGGCGCTGGGTCAATCTCCGGACGTTGGCCCCAAGCTGCTCACGTTTCGGGGGAAAAACCGCGGACGCTTCTCGTACCCTAAGTGGAAACATTTTGACCAAAACCTGTGGTCCCCTTACAGGTGACCAAAACCTGTGGTCCATATCCTGGTGGTAATTCATTTTGACCCATACCCAAAGTCGTGCGCCCTCAGGAGGAGCGGCTGCGGCCCAAGCCGAACTTCGCGGTGCCCTTGGCCTCGCCCTGCGAGGAGGACTCTGCCGAGGCGCGAGGGGCGCGGTCAGTACTTTGAGTTGGGATGAAGTCAGACCTGCGGGCTGACGCTTGTTTAAAGCCTTTCACCTGCCAAGGGGGGTGACTTTGAGAAAAACAAGAGTAGTGTGAAGGGGTTTGGGCAAAATGCGTACCCACCAACTCCGGATGCCCTTCGGGAAGCCATGAGGTTTGATTAGACAACGGCTGAGAGCATGTTCAAAGATGGCCCAGACCCGTGACGTCGAGCCCGGATGATTTCAGCGCACTATGGGAGACACGTCCATCCCGCGCGTTTCAGCAGGCAAAGGCCGTCGCCTTTCGAACCGACCACGACAAGATTGAGGTGGCGGTGAGGCGCGGCAGTCATTTTAAAAAGTCGGGAGAAGGATGTGAGACTAGTCTTGGCTTGGTTGGGCTGAAAAGGAAGTGAGTGGCTAGATTGAAACGATTCCCTTTGACAAGTCTCCCCCCAAAAACCACTTACCCAGGCGAGTTGCTTTGCGAGCCCAGCCGGCGCCGGCCCTGGCACCGTCTGGATTGTTGCTGGGGTCCCTTTGTCGGAGCCTTGGTGAATGGCTGTGGCTCAAAAAACCGGAATCCCAAAATGGGTTGCCCTGGTAAGTGGAAACATGGACCACAACCTGCGGTTTGCCTCCGCTGTTGACTTTTTTGAGCCACACCCATTTGGGACAGAAATCAAGTTCATGGTTGGTCACTCAAGTAGGTGCCAAAGAGGAGCCAGAAAAGCGCGATTCGCGAATCGCGAATCGCGACGGTGTTTTTGTCGTGATCACGAATTGCCACCCGACTAACATACACCTGGCAGGGGGTACCAGAGGCTTGCTCCGAGTTTCGAAGAGTGGGTCGGCTGGTGCCAAGGTGCTCAGGCACCGCCCAGATTCGAAGGCCGTGTTGGTGGCAGAGCTGGTCGCGAAGCGGCAGCGGGCTGAGTCTTAGTTTCCCTAGAAAACCAACAGGTTGTCCCGAAAAGGATGTTTCCCTTCTAGTTCTTAGTTTTCTTCTCGTATGCGATTCTTGTTCTGAGGGTATGTTTGTCCTTGAATTCCATTGAAGTCTGGCCGAGGTGCAAGGCCCTGTAGCTGTCCAGGTTTCACTGTGTTCAGGTGCTGAAAACTCTCTTGACTGCACACCTCAAGTCAGAGACATAAAACTGCCAGCTGAGCAATGTGGTATGTCAAGGGCCTCAAGCAGTGGACTGGACGGGTTCAGCCGACTGGATGTGTTGCCCTTGCAACTGTGAACTGAGGAAGCGGCTGCTGCAACACTCCATGGTGGTGGGGAGCTCAGAAGGTTCCAAGCATCGAGAGCCGCCCGAAGAGTACTTTGGAGCGACCCGCGACGGTATCATACCTCGGGGAAACGATTCGGGTGTTGGTTGCCTAAACCATCGGGCAAGGTTCTGCCTTCTCTTTTGTATTTGTTTGAGAAGCGGATACTTTGAGCTCCGGGTAATTTGCGGTTCTCCAACTTGCGCCGTGAACAGCAAGGAGCTCGCCATGCGCAAGAGACCACGAGGCGGGCAGTGGAGTTCCACACATGTGCGACACTTGCCCACGCCAGGGCTCCCCGTGTATTTCCCCCGTTGGCCAGTTTTAAAAGATCACGTTGGGCCAATGTAAAGTGAGTTTCCTTGAAGTTATTCGGAAAGTGTCGGGGGCTGAGGGCTCTTGGACTTTGAGGCTAGGAACGGTGATATTTCTTTGTCCGGTCGGTCCAGTTTATTGATGTTTCGAGTTGGAGATACATGTATTTATGCCGGTGCAAGCCAGAACGACACCTTCAAAGTCGCAATTGTTCAGACTACAGCAAATTGCAAATGATGCAGGGGAAGGGCCACGATTCCAAAGACATATTTCGTGCAATCCTCTTTGTTGCAAACATCAAGCTGCCAAATTGAACAAACAAAGGTGGTTTGCAAGACGGCCCACAACGCAAGAACCTCAGTCATGGTCTTTTACTGCCTTGAAGCAAGACATTTGTCTACGTCCGAGAAGCAAAATTTGGTCAAACACGCAAATGCCCAATTTCGGGGCCTTAAGCTTGCCACGTGCGCCCAGCCCATGCTGCATGATGTAGATGTTGTTTGGCAGGTTGGTGGTTTCACACTTCATGTCCTTTCATTTCATTTCGTATCTTACCAGTAGAGCCGGCGAAGCCGGTGGGCGGACGTTTCAACAGTATAAGAGTTATAGTCCTCTTTCTCTTTGATTGCTTCTTTGTTGCTTTTCTCTCTTCCTCTTTCTGTCTCTTTCGTTTTTCTTTTTTTTCTTTTTTCCTTCTTTTTTTTCTCCTTTTTTGTTTTCTTCTTTTTCTTTTTCGTTTTGAAATTTTTCATTTTTTCCTATTTCTTTTTTTTATTCTTCTTTCTTTCTTTCTTTCTTTCTTTCTTTCTTTCTTTCTTTCTTTCTTTCTTTCTTTCTTTCTTTCTTCTTTCTTTCTTTCTTTCTTTCTTTCTTTCTTTCTTTCTTTCTTTCTTTCTTTCTTTCTTTCTTTCTTTCTTTCTTTCTTTCTCTTTCTCTTTCTCTTTCTCTTTTTCTTTCTCTTTTTTTCTTTCTTTTGGTCCTTTTTTTTCTCTCTCCCTCTGTCTCTTTCTCGTTTTCTTTCTTTCTCTTGTTCTTTCTCTTTCTCCTTCTCTTTTGTTTTCGTTGTTTTCTTTCCATCCATCCATCTATTTGTCTATATAAACTATCCAATCTATCTAATCTATCTAATATATGCAGCCAATCTCCCCGAGCAGTGTGTGGGGCCGGACGCTTCCGGTAGGCTCAGGGGTGCCACCACACGGTTTGGCTGCGTGTAGTTACTGGGGGTGTTTCCCCGCTGTGTTCCTTTGGTCATTTGCTCCCTTTCGTTCGTCTTGCGGCGGTTGTCACTGGCCTCTGCTGTTGCGACTGCTGCTGCCGCTGTTCGCTGATGGTGCCGCCGATGTTGCCTTTGTTGCCGCTGCTGTTTCTGTAGTGGCTGCCGTGCTCGTGAGCCCTCTGGCCATTTCCGCCGACCTTGAGGCACCATCTTCGACAACGGCTTGGTGAAGTGCCTGGGATAGGGCTTCGCCATCACGAGCTGCGTTGGTTGGCTGCAAGGGTTGCTCCAACAGCACCACCCACCCCTCCTACCCTTCACCGCCCGCCCAGCCTCCTCCCACCCGCACTCCCACCCCCTCTTCACCCACACCCACACCCACACCCACACCCACACCCACACCCACACCCACACCCACACCAACACCATTCACACCCACACCCACACCACACCATTCACACCCACACCATTCACACCCACACCATTCACACCCACACCATTCACACCCACACCATTCACACCCACACCATTCACACCCACACCATTCACACCCACACCCACACCCACACCCACACCAACACCATTCACACCCACACCCACACCCACACCCACACCCACACCCACACCACACCCACACCCACACCCACACCCACACCCACACCCACACCCACACCCACACCCACACCCACACCCACACCCACGCCACCCACACCCACGCCCACCCACCCTAGCAAGCGTGCACGCGTGTGAGCGTGTGCGCACGCACGCGTGCGTGTCTGCGCTCGTGCGTGCGTGCGTACGCGCGTGCGTGCTCGTGTGCGGCGCGCGGCGCACACCCAGAGCCAATCAGACTAAGACTGCGTTCCTGGCATCCACTCTAAGCCCCGTAGAAGCCCAGGAGAAATGACTGAAAACACCCGCTATGCCCGCCGGCCGCCAACACCTACTTTCAGGGGGCCATTTTTTGAGGGATTGAGCGATGCAGAGGATGCAAGGGATGCACGGGATGCTGGAAAGCCCAGATGCTGGTGATGCAGGAATGCTGGGGATGCTGGTGAAGTTGGCGAGGATGCAGAGGATGTTGGCGAGCATGCTGGCGACTGCCGGGGACGATTTGCACGGTATTTACAGTGTTTTTTGCAGGTTGGGCAACGTGGCATCAGGAGCCAGTCGCAAGGCCAGGGATGCCAGAGATGTTTTGGGGTCCAAATGTTTGGGCTGGCCTGCGTGCTCGAAGACATATTTCTCCCACGCCTTCTCCTGCCTTGGCGGTTTGTTGTTGTCTTGTGTACTGGCGCGCCAGCTTGCGGGCACTTAACATGCGGGAGCCTTGGGGGTGCTTTGCAAGTGTTTCGTGGGCTGGTCGGTAACCCAAAAGACGTCCCCAATTTGTTTCCCGCAGCCATGCCAGCTCATGGGGTTCTCCCCGGTTGTCACGTGGGGGCGCTGACAGATACATAGCCGCCGGAGCAGGGTCTTTGCAAGGGGCTCCAAAACCATCATTCCCCTCCGCTCATTGCCTGGCAAAAGGGGAAGCGGGTGTCAAAAATTAATCTATCTTTCTATCTACTTATCTGTCTATCTGTCTATCTATCGATCTATCTATCTATCTATGTATCTATCTATGTATCTATGTGTCTTTCTAGCTCGCTATTTGTCTGTCTATCCATCCATCCACTTCGCAGGACGAGGTCGTTTCCTGGATGGACAAGTGTCAGGAGCCTACCAGGTGGAATAGAATCCGTTTGGGAAACTCCCTCTAAAGAGAGCCCCAGGGTGGCCAGCGTGACGTTGTCGGCCCCTCCGTCGAGGAACTTGTGCTTCAGCAGCAGGGCCGAGGTCGTCGTGGCTGCGACCCCCGTCGAGTTGCCGGCCTCCAGGGTTGCGTCCAGGATCTGGCCGTAGACGTCCACCGTTCCCGACTGGTTGGCCAGGCAAGTGCGCCCCGAAGTGCAGCTTTGCGATCCCGTTCGGGGGCACGGTGAAGCACATCTTGGCGCCGTGCTCCAGGCGCCCTGGTCCCCCACGAAGCTGCCGCACAGGGGGTCGTAGACGTTGTCGGCCTCGGACATGTACACCACGAAGTTGGAGGCCGTGCCGAGCCGATACCGGCAGGCGAAGAGGAGCCCCGGCCGAGGGTCAAGTTGTAGGTGCGCACGATGTTCCACGGGTTCACTGCCAGGGTCAGGGGGCCTTGTCAAGGCCAGGCCCGGTCGCTGATAAACCGATTGTGCAGGATAATATGGAACTTGCAATCGCCAGGCCTTGATAAAACGGCCATCGGGCCGCTTGTCGCCAGCTTACATCCATCCATCCATCCATCCATGCATGCTTGCATCCATCCATCCATCCATCCATCCATCCATCCATCCATCCATCCATCCATCCATTCATCCATTTCTATCTCTCTCTATCTGTCTATCCAACTGTCTGTCTATCTAATCTATCTGTTTACCTGTCTATTTGTCTGTCTCTATCTATCTATCTATCTACCTATCTATCTATCTATCTATCTATCTATCTACATTTATACTTGTCGGGCAAACACCCACAGTACATTACCACCAGCAAATAGAATCAAGTTGAATTACGCACGTGGTGCAAATTCAAGGCTTGCCAAGTGGCCATCCAGCAGTTTCTCCTTTGCACATGTGTACCACTTGCGCTGCGCCGATTCGAAGGTCCTTTGGTTGCAGGCCTCAAAGTGTTTGGTTCAGTTTTCTGCGCGCAGCGCCTGCCAGGCTGACCTCAGGGCTGCAAAGAACAGCAGCAGTTTGCAAAAAGAGCGTTGCCTGGAGTTTGGAAAGCCTTCTGTTTTTCTGTTGGCTTGAGGAATGAGTTTCTTGAAGGGCAGCTCAGATCGAGGAAGCAATGTGGGCAGTTGCGTGACTTATCGTGCTTGATCACGGTATGAGCTTGTTTTTCACTGGATTAGGACATTGAATCTGCTTGGCATGGAGTCAGTTGGTGGCATGTCTTAATGGGGTGGCCAATTTTTGCCCTGATGAGATTTTCCGATGTGTTTTTTGTGATGCTTGTACTTGTTTGTTCAGGCCATGTTGGTAGACCTGCTTACAGTACGTTGTGGTGGAAAGGCATGAAAGCCTCAAGGTCTACGATTGAGCATTGGGGCTACATGTTTTGTCCGATTTGAAAGGGTACTCACATGTTGGAAGCGTCAACACTGCATTAAAAAAAAACATAAAAAAAACAAACATGTAAAGGCTTGGAACGCAGCGTGCAGCAGTCACACTAGTACTTCAAGCCAGCATCAGCGTGGCTGTGGCAGTGCACCGTGATGAGTGCGTTCCGGGATCAAAGCGTCCTTCTTGCTGTGCTCTCAATTGTCAGATGGAGAGTAGCTAGGAGCCAGGTGCAGTCTGGAACAGTGACTTGATACTCGGGCCAAACGTCTGCTTGGCTCAACAGTTAGCATTGTCAATTGCGCCAACGCAATCTGAGAGGTTTGAGAAGCTCAGGCGGGGTACGCAAATGAAGGGCCCACTTTCAAAAACGAGACACGTAACGTTTGTCCTGGGGTAGGGATTGTCGGTTGCCATCAACCCTTGAGCCGGGATGTTTGGTAGAAAATGAGCGTCCCTTTGATCGCTTACGAGCAAGCCGGACATGTGGTGCTGCAAGGCATCATGGCCCTTCTGACCGTTGACAGTCTTCTGGATGACAGGCTGTCCAAG